ATACTAGGGATATGACCGCAGATGGGCATACAAAGGGAAGCATCGATCGGGAGCTGCTTCTGGAAGTGATGTCAGGCACTCAGTCATTCAAGTATGACGCGAAGCAGTTTGTTACCTCTCGGGGTCCCGAGGACAGAAACAAACCCAAATCTAATCAATTTTAGTCTGTCCTTGTTGCCCCCCCCGCGGTCCAATTTGCCAGCATGGGCGCCTACTACAGAGGCGCCCTTCTAGTTGCTCGGAAACGAGCCTTACATTTCACGCCTGGCAACGAGCCGGCTTTGTATGACTCAGGCTCTTTGCCTTAATACATATTTGCTCGGTGAGGTATGGCCCGTTTGGCTTACCTCTAGCTGAGCCGATAGCCCTTCATCGTTCGAAGGGGCTATCTTGTATTTGCGCGAAATGCCTTGCGAGGAAACTCGCCTTGCAGTCTGGCGTTAGGCCAGACTGTGCACACTGTTTTCTTTCTTGCAAACAGTCGTGCGCGCGGCCTTTGTAGAGCCTAACGGCTGCGCGGCTATGCTCTCCGTCTCCTCCCCTCCCGACTTTAAGGGTAGCTCTTTGGGATATGTTATAGTATCGGGAGCATAGCTCGCGCGCCGTTGCCTTTGGCTCAAGGCACGCGCGCCCTATTTGCCCGGACGCCGCGAGCGTTCGCTATGTGCTGGAAAGATCACTACATCGATCTTATCCTATCTTCTCCGTCCATTCCTCTTACTGAACCACCTCAGTACGATGCCGGACGCTATTTGCCATCCGCTTCCCATGGAATCGGATGCTATTTGAGTTACCAGGCTCACTTTCGACTCTGGGAGCCTTGATGTTGGAAGCATCGACCACCCCGCCCTTGCTTTCAGGGATGCGTCGGGGGGCCCGGCACTAAACATCCTCTACTTCGTTGCGTCGGCCTCGCTGTGGCCACGATTTCTTGTTTTTCGCCCGTTCGAATTGATGTTGCGATTTGTGGGCCCTTGGTCGGGCCACGCCAAACCGCTCCTAGAGGAGAATTGTTGTCGCTTCGCGAATCCCCACCAGCCCATCCAGAAACGATGCCCAGAGGAATTGCCTCGATCAGAGAAGTGGGCAGCACACAGAGGAAGCCATTATGAGACATCTTGGGATATCTTGAGCCATCTTGGAGGTCATTTTGGGCTCTCCCAGACGCTCTTGGAGTCATCTTAATCCGTGCCCCCCCCCAAGAGGCCTCCATGTGGCTAAAACCTGTGTAGAATCAATGATTAGGCATTCTCGCCGAGGCCTCTTGGAGCATCTTGGGTGCATCTGGGGGGGCTCTTGGGGCCTCTTGGGGGTCTCTTGGGGGCCTCCGGGGGGCCTCTTGGGGGCCTCTTGGGGCCATTTTGGGGCCATCTTGGGACCTCTTGGGGCTTCCTGGGCGCTTCTTGGGGCCATCTTGGAGGAGATCGATCAAACAAGAGGGGGGGTTTAATTAGCGCCCCCCCTCGGAAGCCCCTAAAATCGCCTCTTGGACCCCTCTTGGAACGCTCTTGGAGTGCTCTTGGGCGCTCTTGGGGCCGTCTTGGGGCTCTTTTGGGGCTCTCTTGGGGCCCTCTTGGGCCATCTTGGAACCATCTCCAGGCCTCGGATGGCCATCGGAAGCGAAAAGGCGAGAAAGCAAAAATCATTGATTTTCCTTAGGTTTTGGGACGATTTTGGCCTCTTCGGGGCCTCCTTGGGGAGCTGTTTGGCCACTTGGAGTTATCTTGGGGCCGTCTTTGGGCTTCTTGGAACCATCTTAGGAGCCATCTCGAGCGATCTTGCGCTATCTTGAGCCATCTTGGAGCTCATCTTGGGTTCTCTGAGGCGCTCTTGGAGCCGTCTTGGGCCATCTGGGACGCTCTAACTACCCGCGGCCCCCCCCGTCCAGGTCCAGGGGAGGGGGTAGGGGGAGGGGTAAACCCCTCCCCAAGGGGGAAGAGGGAGGGGTGGAAGAGGATCTGCTCTAGACCACCTACGCCCAGAGGGCTGGTGGGATTGGCCGCCCTGGAACTCGTCATCCGCTACACCCTCGGGCCCGTCGTGCACGCCGCCGATAACGAGGAGGTTGTGGAGGGGCGGTGGGCTCGCGAGTTCAAGAATCCGTCTGGGGAGATGGCGGGGCTCTGGCGCCCCACCGGGCAGTTACTCGCAGATCAGGGCAGGGAGGCTCACGACATCGTCGTCTTGCGGGTGTCATCTCATCTCGGGCCCCAGGATCTCCTCTCGCGTCGGTTCCCGTCGCACTTCGTTATCGGAAATGCTGTAGTCGACGAGCTCGCAGGTATATGTGCTCAGAGTGTACGTTCGCCCCAGGACGTTCGGAGCAGAGTTCTAGAGGTGGAAGCGAACGCTAGCCTGGTGAGGAAAAGACGGATGAGGGCCAACCTGGACGTCATGTCGATGACCAATAGGAAGCCTGACCGTCCTTCTCCCGTCCATCCTGCCGCTGCTCCTCTCCCCCCCCTCCTCCGCCTCTGCCCCCCGCTGCCGTCGCCTTGTTCGCCTCCTCCCATTCCGTGGACAGCGGAGGCAGGAGGTGCACCCGCTGTTTCTCGCGGGCGAGCGAGGCCGCCAGGGCGGCCTGGCTCTCTACGCCCCGCTGCCCTCCACAGGCCGTGAGCGGGGGGCTCTTCAAGGCGACCCCAGGATCAGGGGCGGTGCACGTGGGGGGGGTGGGGTGGGGTGCGGGGGGGGGCTTCGCACACGTGTCTCATCATATGTATTTGCACACGTCTAGTGGTTATTGGTTTTGTCGCGTGTGCTCTCGGCTCGGCTCGGGGCAGATTCGGGGCCTTGGAGGGGGGTGCGCCACGGCCAATCTCACGCCCAAGAGGCGGGAGATTCTTGATCGTGTATCCTGAGAGCTTAAGCCCAAAGAGTAGACATTTTTTTGTCTGACGTTTCGCGTCTGTTCCGATTCCGATTCCGATCCCTCTTCCTTTTCTCCTCCTCCTTCTCCCCTTCCTCTTCCCCCTCGCTTCGCATTCGCCTTTCGACTTGTCGCATTTTCGGCCCCGCCAGCGTTTCCAGCAGGGGCGTGGCCAGTCATTATCATTCCACATCAAAACTGGCCCCGCCCATATGTTGGTTGGCTTCATTCGTTGACGGTTGCATCATGACTGAATCTCCAACGTCCACTTTTCCATCTCGTAAAATGATACGATTGAGATCCGACGCCATGATTTTCTAATTTGGGATTCTCAGAAATCCCGACCATTTTTCCGCATGTCCGACGTTCCATCTCGATCCGCGTTTGTTGGGGCCCCCGTGGGCCAGCGACGTGGCCTTGGGGGCCCGGAAGCACCAAACAAGGCGCAAAGGTGTTCGTCAACCCGAGGCAATACCAAGAACAGGTCCAGGCAGTACCCGCGCGCCGGCGCAGAGCAGGGGGGGGAACTTGTTTTTGAAACCCCTGGACGTCTACCCCAAAGCCTCCAGCAAAAAATCCCCACTGATCAGGGGCAACGTAAAGGGGGTGATGGGCCCAGGGAGCGACGCATCGACCTTTAGTCGCCCATTTATCGCCGATAGTCGCCCATTACATCCGCGATCTATCTCCGACTCCAGGTCGATGTTCGCCCTCCTGAAGTGGCCCATCGCTCATGTGGTCCCCCATCAGTATGGTAGGTTCGCGTCGTGTCGAGTGGCAGCGACCCTGGCGCGGGCGTTATGGCTGAACGCCAGCCCTGGCCCAGAACCGGCCCATTGCTTATCGGCACGATCGACATGGGTTTGGAAAACATGGGTACGATGCCCAACAGCAGATCCTGTCCATTTTGAACAGGGTTCGCTGTCGGTGTCGCTGCGGACGTTGTCCATTTAAGACAGAAGGCCGTCATCTCAACGGCGGCCGCTGTCGGTTTGGGACAACGTTGATTTTGGTCGGCATTGTACACATTTGCTCCGTGCCCGCATGGCGCGTCCAAAGTTTAACGATCCGGCGTTTTTGAGGCAGCCGATTGCTCAAGGTTGAACGATCGGACGCGAATTTGCCGGATGGAGGTGTGGGAGGAGGTTGACGCCAGGTTGTTCGCCCAGATGGCGTCGATATTGAGTATTTTGCGAAGGCCTGCGGCCTGGAACCAACACCGGGGCTGACACGACGCGAACGACCTTCGAAGCGGAGGCTGTCATGTCCGCGTTCGGCTTCCAGGGGCTCGGGCCGTCAGAAGACGACCCAAGGCGAGGGGCTGGTCCAGGAGGGAGGCGGGCTTGCAGGGTCCCTCAGGGCTAACGATGGGTGGGTGCGCCTCGACCCCCAATCGCCCACTGATCGCCGATAGGGGTCCGATAGCTCCAACCTGCCCAGGAACGTGTGGATTCACTATCGGAGGCCCATTGCCGATGAATCGACGATGTATCGGCGATTCCGCGTCGATTACAGGGCCTGCAGGGTCCAGGGCCCGTACTTTAGAGTTCTGCAGCTGCTCGAAATCTTGAGAATCACGCCCAAGAACCCGTTCGAAGCAGCTGAGCAGGTGCGGAGTAACACAATATTTTCGAAGATAGCTCACGTAGCAGACCGGGCTCAGTGCCCAGAAATCCGGTGTGCTGATTCCCCAATCACAGTTTGTTTCTGCAGAAGCCCTAGCGGATTCAGAAGGTTAGCTGAGGTGTGCCAGGAATTTTCCTGGTGCCCGGGCGCCTTATAGCCCTGTAGCCTTATTGCCCTATTGCCATACAGATTTATAGCCCTGTAGCCCTATAGCCCCATAGCCCTATAGCCCTACAGCTCACCCCAAAAAGATTATGATTGGGGGTTCTCTCTGGTATCATGTTTAATTACGGGGTCCCCCGAAGTCCCAGCCCTGTTCCCAGGGCCAATTTCGCATCCCGAGTCGTTTTTTCATCATGTTGGTGCCCGGCGCGATGGCCTCAGGAGGACGAGAAAAGCGAAAAACAACCCGTATCGATCTGTTCAGTACGTTGGAGAATTCGGGTCCCCCTCGGGAGCCGGTTCTTTTCTTGCCGCAAGTGAGGGCGGGCGCAGTCGGTGCCAGGCCGAAGCCCTGGCGGCCGCTGCTGGCGCGTGCGCGGGCGAATTGGTGACCACGGTGGCGTTCTATCCGATCCAGCTGGTGAAGTGTCGCCTCCAGGCCTCCCCGCTCGGACAGGGACATCGGGGGTCGCTGGCCATCGCGTGCCCGGAGCAGCGTGAAGAGATCGTGAGCGGCGGAGACATCAAATGCACTGAGTGTTTTCTAAATTTGCGGCGTCAGGATGCCGTTTTCGGACCCCAGGGCCATCAGAGATCGTCAAGGATGAGAAACTGGCCCGGACCTAACCCGGGAAGTGTCCGGGGATCGCGCCTTGAGCGGCGCGGATTTCATCGAACGACGGTTTAGACTAAGTTCCTGAGGTCACGCCCACTCCGTGTCCAAAGGCTCGGTGGCCTGTCTTGATTCTTACAATTATGTTATTTTGGCTTCACGAAGGACTCCGAACCATCATTATCTTGGAATCGCTCCCGCAAGGCTTCAAACGACCCTAGGGGACCCCAACAGCGCCCCAAGAGGAACCAAGACGCCCCTAAGAGCGCCCCAAGAGGCCCCGGGATTGCCCAAGAAGGCCCCAAGACGGCCCAAGACATCCCAAGATGGCGCCAAGATGTTCTGAGATAGCCCCCACAGAAGAACATGCCCAGGCAACCCAGGAAGACCCCTGTAGCCCATAAAAGGACCCCGACAGGTCCCCAAGAGGCTCCCAGGATGCCCCCAAGATAGCCCCAGAGGGCCCCAACGGCCACGAGGGTAGCCTCAAAAGATCACGAGGACCCCTATCTTCTTCGATATCCATTTCGTCGGGCTCCTTACCGTCCTTCTTCGTCGTCGTCCCTTTTCTTCTTCTCCTTCTCATCCGCTACGTTCCTCCTCGTATTCGTCCTCCTCCGTATGTTCTTCCTCGTCCTCGCGCTTGTCCTCCTACTCGTTGTCCTTCTGTTCCCCTCGCTGTTCTTGACCGATCAAGTTTTGATGTTTACAATTCGGTCAGTTTGGCTTCACAATTCCCTGGAGTTGACCCCAGGGGAACATTTAGCCGCAAACCCAACAATGTCGATGTTCCACAGGCGATCGGGGAGTTGTTGCACCAGTCTCCCGTGCCCCACCGAGAGGTCCCAAGGGGTGTGCTGCAATGGGCGTGGTCAGACATGCGGACTTTGCCACTTGGGCCGTCGGTCGATCTATGGGGCCACAAAGCGTCGGAGGGGTGCGCCGAAACAAAGATATGCGACTTGCGGTGGCCAGAGGCAGGAGGGAGGAGGGAGCGGGACGTGGCGTGAGGCGCGCGGGGCGTTGTGCATTCAAGACGAGAACCCAACACCACAGGATGGTAGAGCAATCACTGAATCTTTGAGCGAGCACAGGCCAAACCACCGTTTTCAGTTAGAAGTGTCCTGGGGGTTTGTAGGGGGTTCCTGGGAAGCTTCTTGGGGATCTCTTCGCTACGAAAGTTCCTCCAAGATGCCACGCTTCGCCTTTTCGACCAAATGCCGCTCGTTAAATCCAAACGGGTTGCGACGATTGCGCTTGAGACGCTCCCGAAAGAAATGTCGACCGAAGTCAAAACTTCTGGATTAGAAGTCGAAATGGCAGGTCCGCCCAGCCTTTAGTTCTTCCAAAGCAGAGGACGATACACGTTCAGTTGAATGTCGAAGTTCTCTTTCCGTCCAGGACGTTCTCCAAATCTCAAAAGTTGAAGTTTTCGGCTTCGACGTTGACGGCGAATTCGCCCAGGACTTCGCCAAACCAGAAGTCGAAATTTGCGCGGGTCAAAGTCGAAGTGCCGATCCCGTTCAGTTCTCTCAATCTCAATGCGACTTGTGTTGGTTTCGCTGTTGGCATGGCGATTCCGTGGATTCCGTCCAGGGCTCCTTCCAAATCAGAAGTCGACACATTTTCGCTTCAAAGTTGAAATTGCAAGTCCGCCCAAGAAAACTTCCAATCCACAAGTCTAACAATGCATTGTTCAAAGTCGAAATGGTAATTCCGCGCAGGCTGTCCTTCAAATCACAGGTCGAAGCCTAAGCCTTTACGGCTCAAGGTTGGATTGGCAATTGAGCCCGAGATTTCTTCTAAATCACAAGTCGTGCCGCAAGGCCCGACCTCCGTTCCAGCAGGTAGCACGTGCACGTGTCCGTTCTACGCTGCAGGTTGCCCGCGGGGGGCGTAAATCTGTTCGCGCGATGTGCTGCATGATCTGGGCGCACGAGTCGTCCTACTCTAGGTTTGCGGCGCGAGGGCGCGAGGATAGCCGCGCTTAGCGCATCGCGCGACGCGGACCTTGATCAGTGGAATTAGGTGACCCATGAGGTTTCTGGAGGTCCCAGGAGAATTCTGGCGGTCTCGCCTTTTGAAGTAGTTCGTCTGCGTCGTTCACGTCGGTACGGCGGGCTGTGCATTTCCTCGAATTGTTTGCCGTGTGGGCATGCAAGCTGGGGTCCAGTGTACCTCCAGCTTGACTGTGAGACGCTTCGCATACCCCCACGAACCCATCCAGAAACGACCCCAGGCAAGTTGTTCTGGTCAGGAAATTGCCGCAGTATGCAGCCGATGCAAGCAGGACGGAGTGATGAGGGATGGAGAGAGCAGGGAGCAGTGAGGATGCAGCAGGACTGTTGAGAAGAGGGGAATTGGAGGATGATGAAGGGATGACGGATGAAATAATGATAAATGAAGGATGACGGGCGCAGGGTGTGAGGATGTATTAGGGATGAGTTAATAGTTAATCATTGGAGGGAGTCGGGGAGAAGTGAGAAAGGAGGGAGGGAGTGAGGAGGGATGGATGGATAGAAGGGTCGAGGTAGAAATGGATGAAATTACCCTGGCGACGGACCCAATCATATGCAGTTGTGGTTACCGCAATTGTGAATATTTTCTTCGGTGGAGCTCCCTATGGGGCCACGAAGCGCTGCACTGGGTGGGGGGGAACGCATGCGGGCGGTAGAACTGGGGCCGTCGGGCGAACTCCCTATGGGGTCACGAAACGCCGTACTGGGTGGGGTGAAAGAGCCAAATTTGGTGTGTGTGTGTGTGTGTGTGTGGGGGGGGGGGACGCATGCGGGCGGTCCCAGTGGGGGCGTCGGCGGAGCTCCCTATGGGGCCACGAAGCGTTGTATTGGGTGGGTGAAAATGCAAAATTGGTTTTCCGAGACGCATGCGGACGGTCCCATTGGGGGCTTCGGTGGAGCTCTCTACGGGGTCACGAAACGCCGTAGTGGGTAGTGTGAAAATACCAAAATTGTGTTTCAGGGACGCCTGCGGACAGTCCAACTGGTGGCGTCGGTGGGGCTCTCTATGGGGCCACGAAACGCCGTACTGGGTGGGGTGAACATGCAAAATTAGATTTCCGGGACGCATGCTGACAATCCCAGGGGCTTCGGTGGGGCTCTTATGGGGCCACGAAGCGCTGTACAGGGGGGGGGGGGGACGCATGCAGACGGTAGCACTGGGACCTTCGGTGGGGCTCCCTATGGGGCCACGAAGCGCTGTACTGGGTGGGGGTACGCATGCGGACGGTAGCATTGGGACCTTCGGCGGGGCTCCTTGCGGGGCCACGGAACGCTGTACTGGGCGTGGGGGACGCATGCGGACGGTAGCATTGGGACCTTCGGGCTGGGGCCACGGAACACTGTACTGGGTGGGGGGACGCATGCGGACGGTGGGGACCTTCGGTGGGGCTCCCTATGGGGCCACGAAACGCCGTACTGGGTGGGGGGACGCATGCGGACGGTAGCACTGGGACCTTCGGTGGGGCTTCTTATGAGGCCACGAAACGCTGTACTGGGTGTGGGGGACGCATGCGGACAGTAGCACTGGAACCTTCGGTGGGGCTCCCTATGGGGCCACGAAACGCTGTACTGGGTGGGGGGGACGCATGCGGACGGTAGCACTGGGACCTTCGGTGGGGCTCCCTATGGGGCCACGAAACGCTGCACTGGGTGGGGGGAGCGCATGCGGACGGTAGCATTGGGACCTTCGGTGGGGCTCCCTATGGGGCCACGAAGCGCTGTACTGGGTGGGGGGTACGCATGCGGACGGTAGCACTGGGACCTTCGGTGGGTCTCCCTATGGGGCCACGGAACACTGTACTGGGTGGGGGGGACGCATGCGGACGGTAGCATTGGGACCTTCGGTGGGGCTCCCTATGGGGCCACGAAGCGTGTGAGGGGTATGCTGAAACTGATGATGATGATGATGATGATGATGATGATGATGATGATGATGATGATGATGATGATGATGATGATGGTGATGGTGATGGTGATGGTGATGGTGATGGTGATGGTGATGGTGATGGTGATGGTGATGGTGATGGTGATGGTGATGGTGATGGTGATGGTGATGATGGTGATGGAGGAGGGAGAAGGTGGAGGAGGAGAGGAGAGGAGAGGAGTAGGAGAACGCGGGGCGACGTCTCTTCAAAACGAGGACCCAACACCATAGGATGGTTGGGAAACAGGAGACACGAGGGATCAGCAGTGATGCAAACATGGACGGGTGGAGGACGGATGGAAGGATGAGGCATGCAAGCGTGGAAGGATTTATGGGGGACGGATCGATGGAGGGGGGAGGTGGGAGGCAGGATTCAGGATGGTTGGCTCAAGCGGTGTTACGCGTATGTCGACCCAACATGCGCCACGTGGCAACAACGAAAATACCGAAATCGCCCAAAGATAAAACAGCGCGCTGCCAACTCAGGATGTTGGTGTGCCCTTCTGGAGCCGCAGACATTGCAAGACAGTGTATCCTAGTGGACAGCGTCATTAGCGAAGGCGACAACGACGACGCGACGATGACGGCGACGTCTCGCACTCACGTTACCTAGCCGTTCTATCTGTCTATTTACAGAATGGTACTGAATTCAGCGAGCGCGACTGGATTATAAGCTGGGAAGCAAACCGTATGAAACCATACAAAATGTGCACCCCCCCTTGAAAAAAAGCAAAGACGACCTTGCCTCAGGCCCTGGCGCTCAATCGCGCGATGGTCCCTGGCCGCCATTGGAGCTGTTGTTCGACATTGTCTTGGCGGAGCCACTAAACGGGCCAAAGCTTTCCCAGCGGCGATGAAGGGTGTCGCAGTGGCGCCTTGAGGGCCTCTGGGAGCTTCCTGGGTGCCTCTTGGGAGCATGCCTGGGATCTTGAAGGCAATCTCAGAAGGAACGGCTCTCAAGAAGGTTAACTCGATTTCTCCGTTTTCAGCCCGGCTTGGGGCAATCGTAGCCGTTTGTGTTGCTTTGGAGGCCCTTACGGCCGTCTTAGAGCCCTCTTGCGCTGCCTTGGAGTTTTCTTGGCGTCTTTTGGGCCGTCTTGGGCTCCTGGCAGCCAGAGTAGCTAGTAGGTTAGATCGTTAAAAAACCAAAGCGGCATCTATGTTTTTCAGCGCTCGGGGGCCTCTTGGGCGTGATGCTGTGAAGCTCTCTTTGCACGTCCTGGTGGCCTCTTGACAACATCTCGGGCCAGTTTGAGGCCATCTTGAACCGCCTCGAGGCCATCCTTAGCAGTCATCGGACCGCCATAGGGGGCCTCCTGGGTAGTCTTGAAGCAAGATTGGCTGGCTTGAGGCCGTTTTTAGGAATCTTGAACCCCGCGGGGCGCAGAAATCAGCGCTGGAGTGCAAACCAAGGGGGCCGTATTTGAGTATTCGAGCCGCGTGCTTGTACGGGGGGTGGGTGGTCGGCCCGAGGGAACATTGAAGAAGCTTGACCAAGCAACAGAGCGCGAGAAAGCATCGAAGAAGCCAGAGAAAACAGCGAATAGTAATTTTTACACGCCCGTAACCTGTAGGCACGGTGGCGGCTTTGGGGAGGCGGGGAGGGCTTCAACCTCATTTAGGACGTTCTCCAGCCATCCGCTTCCACCCCCCCGAGAATCTGGACCCCGATGCGCGGTCCCGTGGACTCGATCCCAAAGATGATGCGCTGCACGCGGTGCACCCGCGCAGCGCTGCCCTGCCCTCCCCCCTGGGGGTCGTGGCCGAGGAGCCCAGCCCGCGAGGCCGCGGATAGTTGTGGAGACAACTGTCACGAGAGTCAAGAGCGGTCCTGGCGTTGGAGGGGTAGCCTCGTGCTTCCCATATAGGACCCATGCACACGGTGATCGTGGCGAGGAGCTCGGACACCAGCGAATCCCTCGCCATCGCGTTTGCGCTCCTTTTTCCCTGCCCTCCCGACAGGTCTCCCTCCCCATCAGCCCCCCCTCCCTTCTCCAGCCCGTCTGCTGCCTTTGCTTCGCGATCGGTCCGCTCCTCCCCGCTGTCGGCATCCCAGCGGCCGACGGAGGCGGCCATCAGAGGTTCTACCGACGCCTACGCGTACTCGGGGCTGCTCCACGGGATAGGCTGTGTATTCAAGGAGGAGGGCATCCTGGGGCTGTTCGGGGGCATCAGCCCTGTGATGGTGCAGGTGATGACGATTAGAAGAAACAAAATGCATAAACATAAACTATCTGATGCGCGCGCTGATTTCTTGGATCGGCGCTGGACCCCCTCCCTGGCGGTGCCGCCCCTGGCGCGCTCCGCGCGCCGGGCCGGGGAGGGGGTCCAGCGCCGGTCCAAGACATCCGCGCGGACCTCCGGAAGTTTATGTTTATGCAATTTCCGGTTCCTCTAACGATGGAGTGTTGCACCGTATACCTCGCTGAGTTCCTGATGGGCTTGTACCGGAAGGTCGTCGGCCGGGGCGAGGGCATGGCGGCGGTGCCTTTGCGGACGCTGGGCGCCTGCTGCAGCATCTCCCTGACGTTGCCGCTGGAAGTCGTGGTCACGCGAGTGACGACCTCGCGGCCTCCGCTCGGCGCCACGGTGGCGGTTAAGCAGCTCTGGCGCGAGAGGGGCTTGGCATCCTTCTGGCGCGGTTGGGGCGTCAGCATGGTGCTGTGCCTGAACCCCGCCCTCATGCTGACCGCCGTGGACTGGCTGCGACGGCTGGCGCTCGCCTTGCAGCGGCTGCGGGGTGCGCCCAACGGTGTCGATCGGCGGCAGATGTCCTGGGTGCAGGCGCTCGTCGTGGGCGCGGTCGCTAAGCTGCTGACGATGTGCGCGGTGTACCCGCTCGTGCGCGGGAAGGTGTTGCTGCAGTCGCGCCAGGGAGGGGCCAGCGGCGTCCTCGGCGCGCTGCGGGCGCTGGCCGCGAGGGAGGGCCTGGGCAGCTGGTACCAGGGTCTCACCGCCCAGCTCAGCAAGATCGATTGTCCTCATGACGCGCGTTGGCCCACTCAGCTCAGCCCCGCCCAGCTCAGCTCAGCTTAGCTAAGCTCAGCAAGATCGATGTGCGTCAGTCGCTCAGCTCCACCGGTAGCACGCAGCACGCAGCTTGCGTCAGTCCTCGCTACACAGTCTGCGTCGTGTCCAAGGTCTTCGGTGGACGAACACACGGTGGCGCTGACACGTCCTGAGGACCATCGGCAAGAGCATGCTCTCCGCCTCGGTCAAGTACGCCATCAAGGAACACGTCGAGGAACCGGTGCGGCGGCGCCTGCTGGCGCGCGGCGCCCCCTAGCCGGCGCCCTGCGCCGGGCCGGCCGCGGAGGCGGCGGAAGCGCCCGCGTGACTTGCAGGCATGGCCGCGCGCCCAGGGCGGGCGCTGCCAGCCCGGGCCCGGCCGCGTCCGCGGCCGCGTGATTGGCGTAGCGGGCGCTGGCGGCCCCAGCGGCGGCGCGCGGCCACGGCGGCCGCCGGCCGCCAGCCGTCGCGCCCAGGGCTTGCCGCCGCCGCGGCCCGCCGCAGTCACATGTCGTGGCGACCGGCGGCCGGCTGGGTGCGGGAGCTCCGCGGGAGGGGGCAGCCTTTTCCCAGGCCGGTCGGTTCGGTCTTTGGCGTTGCGGTTTGGTCAGGCCAGTTTGGGCCGGTCGGTCTGCGAATTGTCAGCATCGCCGGTCCGTGTTGGTCGGGCCTCGTGTCCAGTGAGCCCCGAGGGGCGTTCATGGAGCTCGAGCGGGGCTGCGGCAATGCCAGGCCTGTCGAGTCAGAGTGGTCGGTTCCGCGGCGGCACCAGGCCGGTCGGTCCAGTTTCCATGGCCCAGTCGGTGTTCGGGTTGGCCCTGGACCGAATAGAGGTTATGGGGGTCAGAGGAGGGCCAGTTGAGACAGCAATATTTTGATCTGGGAAGGGGCAGAAAAATGCGTCGTTGTCTCAGTTCGCCCTGCTCCGAGAGGTGCGGCGGGGTTGGGGACGAGAGCCTTGTCGGCCCCACGGGGGCGCGAAGATGGTCGCGCTCTGCGCCTGGCGCCGTGGGCCGCAGAATGGCGAGGGTGCGAGGGCGCGAAAATCACCGCGCGGCGCGACGTGCGCAGTTGGGTGACTTACAAGAACGGGCTGGCCACAACTGAGCTGTGGTCATTGCTCTGGGGACCCATCGGCATCGGCACCCCCTTCGAGAGGTCCATGCGATGGGTCCCACCAGCGAGGTGCTTACGGAGCCCGTCCCCGGGATTTGACTGGTCTGAGGCGCGGGTGGGGGGGGAAAAGGGAGGGGAAGGGAGAATTTACAGTTCCAGACATCGCGCAGCGGCTTGGTGGGCATGATTGCATCAGTTTTTGTTGGTTCGGGGGGGGTCGGGAGTAGGACCCGCCGTTTGTGCGATTACAACCAGATGTTTGTTTTGCTGTCATGTTCTACAGTTTGTAGACCCCCGCACTGAATCAAAATCCCTGATGGTGCAGACGATCCACTCTCACAATCCTTTTCGTAGCAGCCTTTACAAACTGATTATTTTGTGGCGACCTTACAAACATATTATTATGCGGGATCTGCAGTGGCCTCCACAATTATAACCCACTCATAGCAGCCTGTACAGAAATGGATACCTTTGGTTGCGGCCTTCCAACAGAGTTTTTGTTCATTAAGGAGGATCAGCAGTGGCGGCACCTTGAGCCCCGGAAGCTAGATAGGAAAACAAGAACACATGAATCAGGTTGTGCTTCCCAAGGGAAACAAAGGAACAAGCTGGTAAGACCTATGACTGTTTGTATGTCTATGGTGCAGACGCTCCACCATTAAAATGATGTTCTAGCAACCTTTACAAAAGGATTCCTTCTTGCGGTGGCCTTACAACAGGATTTTATGTGTGGGGGATCTGCAGTGGCTTCCACACTTAGAATCGTTGTATAATAGCCTTTACACAGTCGACGGCATCTCTCCGCGAAGCCTTCTCATGTCGCGCTGAGATGCTGTCGAATCCTTCTCGAAGAGCGTACTCGGCCTTCTGGAAGATCCCATGAGCCTCCTGAGACGCCGCTGGCGGGCCCCCATCGGCTTCCTGAGAGGTCTCGTGAGTCTCCCGAGAGGTCTCGGGCGTCGGGGAGTGCCACCCGGGCTTCCAGAACGACTTCCGAGATGCCGTTCGGGCCAGGTCGGAAGCGATTTTTCATTACGAGGAATACTGTCGGGTCGGAAGTTCACCGTTTGCGAAAATCGTCCTCAAGCGAGGAACCCCATAGCCCGGTACATAATTTTCAATTCGGGATCGTAACTTCTATAGATATTTAGAAACCGCAATGCTGTAACCAACCTATCTTGTCGGCGACCCTTTTGACGGACTGGGGTCCCACCAATCGTGGAACATGTTTTTTCTCCGCGAACCCCCGCCTCACAACAACAACGACGACGACGAGATGAAACATCAGATTGTGAACAACGCTCTCGGCAAGTAATTTCTATAGATATGTGTATACACACCTTGCAATCCTCTTACAAGCGTGCTCAAAGTTCATTGGTCGCGCAGGGTAGCCCAGTGAGCATTGTTCCCTGGGAGACAGAACCCCAAACATTATCCAGCCCGCCCAACAATAGAGGGACCTTCATCTCCGCAGCGACGGCGATGGTTACGGCTACGACCACGATTACGTTTACGATTGCTACTACAATCACGACCATATTACGACTACAATCGCAAGTATAATCACGACTACAATCACGACTACAAGCACACCTGCTGATTCTTGTTGCAGCCCCCATCAGAAGATTCTCACGAATATTCTTGCGCGTGGGGTAGCCCACAATGGATTATTCCCTGGGACAAAGAACCCCTCATGATTATCCAGCCCGCCCAAGAAAGAGTGTAATCTCCGCCGCGACGACGACGGCGACGACGACGATTATGATAACGACAACGGCCACGAGGAGGAACAGGAGGAGGACTAGCAGGCGTAGGAGGAGGGGTTTAGGAGGGAGAGGAGGGGGAGGAGGAGGAGGAGGAGGAGGAGGAGGAGGAGGAGGGGGTGCGAGTTCGTGACTCGCCGAAGAAAGCGAGGGGGGCACCCACAAGTAAACACCTCCTGAGGTGAATCTGCTATACAGGTCGGCGGACCTGTTTTCGCGAGGTTTCAGTGGGCCTCCCAGGAGGCCCTTGGACCTCTGAGACGCTTTGATGGCATTATCAGAGGCCTCTTCGGCCCCTTGAAGAAAGGTCCATGTGGGCTTCCCGTGCGGCTTCTTGGGCTTCTTGAGAAGAACCGCAAGCGTTCCGAGAGGCCACTGGTTTTCCTGAGAACCCGCGTTGGTTTCCTGGTGGTCTCTGGGCCTCCCGAGATCTCCTGAGGGGTCTCTAGGTCTTCCTGCGAAAGCTTCCCAGGCGTCATGGGGCTCCGCCTACCGTCTGAAAATGGCGTTTCGATTCGGCTTCTGTGGCTTCCCGAGGGTGTCTTCTGGGTCTTCTTGAGAGGCTTCACAGGGTTCCTGAGAGGCTCGCTGGACCTACAGAGGACTCCTTCCGCCTCCCGTGAGGCGCCAGACCGACATGATTAGGACCATCGGCGGCATTCCGGGTCCGCGTTGGAACCCGCGGTTCATTGGAATGGGCGGAGGAACAATGAAGTGACTGAGCCGCTAAGCCACGAACTGCGAGTGCGTTGGTGGGATAGTGGGACCACGCGGAGGAGCAACATCAGAACATAGCAGCAACAACGCAGCAGGCAGATTGAGCCCTCAAGGGTTCGCGCAAGAACCATCTTTCGGGTGTTCATGGTGTCGACCGCGATGGGTCTTCTTAGCTTGGCCTGGGGCGACTGGCCGGACAGTGCAAGGCACCCCGCAATGTTGCCCAGCAGCGCGGGCAGAAATTACGGGAACAACAACAGACGTGTGGGGTACGGAGACGATGCTAGCTGCCAATCCTGGTCCTCTAAGAGGGTGTGACACGGGGCAAAGGGGGCGAAGCAGGGTACAGTAGTACAGCAAGGAGAGAGTATGTAGGAGGGAGCAGCGAGGATGCGGTGGGAAGCGTCGAGCAGGAAGATCAGGAGCGGGGAAGGCGAGGGGTCAATGTGGAGCCAAAGGGGAGCAGGTGGTAGCAGGAGTGGTCGCGCAACATCAGTCTGGCAGGCCAGGCGCTCGACTGCAGGCGGTGCCAGTCGCGCGCTCGTGCCTTGCTCTGGCGTGCTTCCTTCTGTCGCTGCCGCTGCGGGCTGGCCCGTCCGCGCGGGATCGGAGCCCTCGCACCCCTCCGCCCCACCCAAGAGACAGGAGGAGGCAGTGGGGGACCTGGGTCGCCCGCGGGGGCCCTGGGCCGAGGCATCTGCCCTTGTCAAGGCGGCCGCACGGGGGCGCGAGGGCAAGAAGATAACCTCGCGTTACGCATTGCGGGGCGCGACGCGCGAAGATCGGTGGCCCAGGGGAGCAAAGTCGTCTGTGCGGGGCAAACCCGGCGGACCCGGCACACCCGGGACACCCGGCGGACCCGGCACACCCGGGACACCCGGCGCACCCGGCACACCCGGGACACCCGGCGCACCCGGCACACCCGGCACACCCGGCGTACCCGGCTCGCCCGGCGCACCCGGCACACCCGGGACACCCCGCACACCCGGGGCACCCTGATTTATCGCCTCGTCGAGGTTGACTCGAAGAGAAGTCGCTGAGATAATAAGATGATATCTGTAATCAACTTCCACTGTGTAGGATAGGAAGAGTGTATCTTTCCTCGGGGCAGGATGCCTGGGGCTCGATCACGAGCCAAGTCAAACTAACAGTTCGATATGGAAACCGCGCACAGAAAGCTCGAGCACTGAATATGAGTACAGAAATCCACATGCCAACTTATTTTAGCGTTCTAGACAAAAACCTGATTTCTACGAGACGGGGGGTTCAGTGCTCCCCTTACTTGAGGTGAAATACCTCCAGACCTGAAATGAGCTTCTGACGAGGCCTGGCAGAGTGCGACAGAGCTGAGAACGAGGTGGGACAAGCCTGTACAGCAGCGGCCACGCTCGAGCGGGTCTGGAGCTGCTCATCCTCGAAGTCACTCTCAGG